TCGGGCCGCCGGACGCCGCCGCCGCCCTCTCATGGGGCTGCCTCCCCCGCAGCTGTGACGGGTGCGAGGGCGGCTGGTGAGCCCCGATGGGGATCTGGCTGGCTTCGGAGCTGGAAGCCCCCAGAGCAGCAGAGAAAAACACAGATCGAGAAACCAAGCCACAGGGGCGAGGTGGGGTAGAACAGACGCTTCATTAATTCATTTATAAAGTACTGAACGACCTGGCCCTGAAGTCACAGACGGGACCAGGGCCGACAGACAATAAACAAGCAAACGTGATTCGGAGATAGTGGTAAGTGCTAGGAAGAAAACAAAATGGTCAAAGTGGTAGTGTGGGGCTGGGGAGGTTAGCTGCTTTGGAGAATGGATTGGGGACATGGAACTTTAATGAGGCGATTTTTCAGCAGCTTTGAAGCTGAGCCCTGAGAAAATCCTGAGTAACAGCCTTCTGGCAGAGGGAACAGCACATGCAAAGCTCCTGTGGCCGGAACAAGATCAGCCTGTTAAAGAACAGCAAGAAGGCTGTGTGCTGCAATGGAGTGAACCAGGAGTGGGGAGATGAGGTCAGGGAAGACCACGCAGGGCCTTGGGGAGGAGTGTAGATAAAATCCCAAGGCTGAGATGGGTGACCTTGGAGGGCATTAGGCTGGATAGCAGTATTAATAATGGGTCTATGGATTAAATGAGCTTGTCAGTCCTGTTCTGTGGAAGGAAATGGGGGCTCAGAGTGGCAAAGCCACTTGCCTGAACATGCACAGCATCAAACTGAGCTCCTTCAAACACTGTCTTGCTCCTAACACCTGCCTCCCAGCCTAATCCTCATCCTTCCACTTCAGGGGCAGAGGCACAGCCCTTCCAGCCTGGGGTGGTATAGAACTTGCAGCAGGGACTGTGCCTCTACCTCAAGCTCCCTCTCTTGGTTCTATGCTCAGGATTGGGTCCCCACCTTCTTCCAGCCCCAGGAACTTGGTCCTAATAACCATTAACAGAGCCCTGAGCTTCACGTACTTCATCTCTTCTAACGCGAAACGGTGAAATGTAGGTTTGTCTTTATTCCCATTTTGCTGTTAAAGAGACCCAGGGAAGATCACAGCTTAAGCGGCATTTGAACCCAGGCTGGCTGCTGTTTAGGTGTGTGCGCTGCTCTGCATGGCCAGGTTTCAGGTTGTATAAGGCAGCCTGGGACTTGCTCCCTGCAAGGGGCCAACAGCACCATCGCCCCCGGCCTCTCCACCCGTCTTCAGGCCAAGGAGAAAGAGGGAGGAGAGTAAGCAGTGAGCATGATGCAAGGCTGCCACCTTGTGGTGGAGATCAGTAACTACAATGTCAGTTTCCCAGGACACACCCTGGAGAAGGGGGTGGGGGGTGGTACCACGCCAGGACAAATCACACCAACACAGACTTACATCTGTCCCTAATACTTTATTAGTCACCTCTAGGCCTGTTCTCAGCTATGTGGGCTCCAAGGAGGGGGTCACCATTCACCAGCTCTCAGCTGGTAGCTTGAGAAAGCGTTGGCCTAGCCCTCTGGGGTCATGGACTGTAGAGTCTGAAGGGGCCTTTCCTGGGTCAGTATGGGGCACCCAGGTAGGGGCACAGATGGGGGCCAAGAGCCCAAGCCTGCCACCCCTCTGCCAGCCTAGTTGTGTTTGGAGAAATATTCCTTGCTGTCGTCCACACTGGGCTTGATTGTGTCACTGCCTGGCATCCAGCCAGCGGGACAGACTGTGGAAAAACAGGGGTGCACATATGAGGCTGGAGTGCCATATTCAAGGTAGAGCAGTAGTGAGGGGATAAAAAGAGGCAAAGCAAGAGCATGAGTTGCAGAAGAAAAAGCCTGGAGCCAAGTGGTCCAGGCCTAAGACCATGCCACATGGTAAGAGAAGCCCTCCAAGCCCAGCTGCAGGATTTTCTGACTGACAATTTTATTTTATTTATTTAGTTTTGGCCACACCATGTGGCACGTGGGATCTTAGTTCCCCGACCAGGGATTGAGTCCGTGCCCCCTGCAGTAGAAGCGCAGAGTCCTAACCAATGGACCACCAAGGAAGTCCCTATTTTATTATTTAGCTTTTTGGCCGCACCGTGTGGCTTGTGGGATCTTAGTTTCCCTGACCAGGGGAAACTCGAGCCCTCGGCAGTAAAAGTGCAAGAGTCCTAACCACTGGACCGCCAGGGAATTCCCTGGCTGACATTTTAATTTCTTTCTGGCTCCTTTAATTGCATCTTTCTCTCTTAGCCCCAGCCCCAGTGGACTTTGAGGGCCTGTGGTCAGGCTGTGGCCTTCACGTGAGAAGATATTCTGATCCAACTAACATTCAAGCCTGCCTTGGCACAGGCCTTCTCAAATACCTTCTACAGATTTCTATTACCTCCCCAGCTCCCCACCCTTATATTGGGGTATCTCTCCCACCAGACTAGAAACTTCCTGCAGACAAGGCCCTGAGTTAAATCTTCTTTGGGGCCCTCACAACCACCCCACACAAGCGACAGAGCGGGCAGTGAATGTATGTGTGCATGACAGAGGGGCTGCATATGTACCCATGTGTTAACACATGTGAATGTGGGTTTCGGCTCACCTTCCCCGTGCTCATCTGTGTACTGGAAGGCCTGGACCAGCCGCAGAGCCTCATCCACGGAGCGCCCCACAGGCAAATCGTTGATGGTGATCTGGCGAAGGACACCCTTGCCATCGATGATAAAGAGGCCCCTGAGATATCATAGTTCACAGTGAGGAGCCAGAGTTCCCACTGTCAGGACCCAGGGAGGGAGCACCATCTTCCTGCTAGCCACAGGGCTGGGGGCAGGGAGGGCATCACCCAAGAGTGATCCCCTCACTCTGAGGATGGGGGCTTCCTGAGGGTCCCACAGTACCTGTAGGCGATGCCCTCATCTTCCTTCAGCACGCCATAATCACGGGACAAGCTTCTGGTTACATCAGCCAGCAGGGGGATGTTCAGGGGGCCCAAGCCTCCCTCCTTCCGGGGGGTGTTGATCCTGTGGGTGGGGGAGACAGGGCTGGGACCTCAGGATGCCTGGCACAGCAGGGTCCTCACCCTTTGGGCCTGCATGTGATAAGGGCTGGAGAGGGAGTGCTGGAGGTGAGAGATAAGGGGCTTTTGAGCAACCCCCGGGGAGCGCCACCCACCCCACCCTGAAGTGGGTGCTGGGGCTGCTTCTCACAGCTGGGAAGACTAAGCTAATACTCTAGCAAAGTAGCTTCACATGTGCTGGTGGTTTCCAGCACCTTAAGGCAGAGAACCTGCCTTAGAGTCCCCATCCTCCTCTCTCTAGCTCTGTGTCATTGGGTCCAGCCCTTCACTCTCTTGAACTGGAGTTTCCACCTTGCTGAAATAGTTCATGGGAGGGAGGCTGTGTTGCCCTAAGTGAAAAAAAGCATCTGCTAACTCTCTACGCCACGAAACTAGTTTCCAAAAGCTAATTACTGTCATCATCATTGAGGACTTGGGAATCACTATTTCCACTATTTTCTTTTTTATGTGTGTGTTACGCGGGCCTCTCATGGTTGTGGCCTCTCCCGTTGCGGAGCACAGGCTCCGGACGCGCAGGCTCAGCGGCCATGGCTCATGGGCCCAGCCGCTCCGCGCATGTGGGATCTTCCCGGACCGGGGGCACGAACCCGTGTCCCCTGCATCGGCAGGCGGACTCTCAACCACTGCGCCACCAGGGAAGCCCCTCCATTATTTTCTTGATGGGAAAGGGAGGCGCAGAGGTTGAGCACCGGCCAGGAGAACACACAGCTCAGACCCTATAGAGGTGTAGGTTTAGCTGCACCCTTCCTCCTTACTGGTCCCCACTGGTCGTACCAAGCCAGGTGGGTGAACTGAGAGTCCACAGAGACGCCCAGCACATCGCAGTCCAGCTTGTGGAACTCCTCGGCACGCTCACTGAAAGCGATGATCTCCGTGGGGCACACGAAGGTAAAGTCCAGCGGGTAGAAAAAGAGGACCAAGTATTTTCCTGGGGAAGGGGGTGGGAATAGACAGGAGTTAGGGCTCAGTCCCTCTAATGCCTGTGCCCCGCCCCCACCAGGGCCCCCTCCAGGCCGCCCTCACCTTTGTAGTCTGAAAGCTTCACCTCCTTGAAGGCGCCATCCACCACGGCGGTGGCCTGGAATTCCGGGGCGGGCTTTCCGATGTGCGCGTTGCCGGAGGTCATGACTGAAAGCCGAGACCCCCGCCCGGTCAGTGCGCCCTGGACGACCCTTTGTCCTCGCTTCCCAAGGTCACGCTGCGTACCGGGCCCAGTTACTGAGTCAGAGCGGCGGAGGCAGCAGCACTGCCTCGCACCCTCTCCGGGACCAGGTTGGCACGGCCTTGAGATTTTGGGAGACCCGCCCCCCTGGACAGCTAGAGGGGCCGGGCACCTGCCGGCCGGCCCCCAGTTAGCGTGTCGGCCTGAGCGCGGTCGCGCAAGCCCACCGCCCCAGGAGGAGATGCCGCGAGCTGGGGGCGGGGAGCCTGGGGATGCGGCCTGTACTCCAAGGCTCTGGCCTCGTTTTTCCCCGCAAGGACAAAGGCAGCCAGTACGGCGGGCGGAAAACAAAGGCGGCCAGCGCTGAGGTCTGGATAGGGCCCGAGCTGCTCCAAGGGGACTCCCCGCAGCCCGATGCACTCCAGGTGTCCATACCTGCGTGGGAAAGGGCGGGACGCACAGACCCACAGACGCACAGACTCGCTTTCGCAGGGCGAAGTGTGCCCTGGGCCTTGGAGCCTTTTATAGTAGGCCCGAACCATGACGCCTAGCGCGGAGGGGTGGGCGGACTAGCGGAGCGGTCGGGTCCACTGCAAGCTCGGGGGAGGGAAAGA